TGATCCAATACCTCTGGACAAAAACGTTACGCCCGATATTTGAATTAGTTCTAAAATAAGAACCATTAGAAATCCTTATTTTAGAACTTGATTACCGTTAAAATTTTAAGAATAAATTGATGTGTTTTTCACTTTTAACTTGTTAAAGCTACATTTAACTACTTAATATACAAAGCATAGGTCGAAAACTATAAGAAGATCGAAAGTAGAACAATTAAAAACTAGTCAAAAGACTTAATTTTGGGAAAAATTAATTTATCCCAAGTTTAAATTTTTTAAACAAAGATTTGAATCGATTCGAAAATTCAACGGATAAAAGAGCTTTTCAGAGCAAGGCGTGGAAATTATCCCAAATATCATATTTATCCCACATATCCCAAAAATATTCAAAATAATCCCTGAGAATGTATGCACGATAATAAAGATATCCCAACGTATCCTTAGTGTATTGGACGTGTAATTTAAGGATATGATGGGATATCTCAGTTCTAATGCATACAGACTCAGCGATTATTTTGAATATTTTTGGGATATATGGGATAAATGGGATATTTGGGATAGTTCCCACACCTTGATTCAGAGGTAATGGAATTTAATATTACTTACTTCGATGACCTTACTGATCAATTATGATCTTTGGCTTCCCTCAGATGCCCCCTAAAACTGACTCTATTTCTGACTACCGCTTGCCAATTTCTTATACCAAATGCAATACTGTCTCTTTCAACAGCTCTTTTCATAATAATTTGATATTATTTGATTAAACTCTTTGACTCAAAGTTACAAATTTCTTGTTCGAAGAAGCCTTCCAGTCATTGACTTAACAAAATATTAAATCTTCAAAATTCTATCAACTTTTTGTTTCCATATTTAGAGATTTCAATCATAAAATCTCGTAAATTACAAAAATATCGAATATTTTGAGAAATTATAAAGTCAACAGGAGGTCCGCATCCAAATGATAATTCTCAGTTTTAATAGAGTTGTCATTATCTGAAATAGCAACAATGTTGTACATCTCGTGGGTGATATGAGTGATATCATGAGCTATCGACTTCCCATATACGATTTAACACTGAATTATGCAAATGGTAATATAAAAATAAATAATGGTAAGAAGAGTCTGCAGATTTGAGACGAAATCACTTTATAGTTTGTCAGCAATCAACCAATCAATTCATTACAATTGAAATGCGTGTCATTTTGGTCCGCAATTAATTATTATTTTCTTGTCGTCGTTAACTTGTTTAAAGGGTATCACTTCATATATTTTAAAATTCTATGTTGCATCTTGTGTCGAATTGAATTAAATGCACATAATAATTTAAGCCAAAACATATGCCATTGATTGTCCAAACAGCGGAATGAAAAAATATTAATTCCTTTGGTAATAAAAAAATATTGAGTCTTACTATGTCAATAACTTATCATACATAATAAAAAAATAATATTAATATCATTTTGTATTCATGTGTGAATCAGTTTAGCGCTTTTTAAAATCACTTCCGTTGAAGATTCGTGCGACAAATTCAATATGACTGCTTTTTGCAGTTAATTATTCAATGCTGAATAAGTTTATAATAAAGTCAATTAAGACAATGACTAGATGACGAGTAAAAATGAAAAGAAATAGAAGTGAAAATTTTTTATGGCTCAAATTTTTTCTTTTTATTGCAAGTCACATGCTGTATGTATGGAATTTTGTATGCCTCATACATATGCTAAGTATCAAACTACATGTGCGAAGTGTGGTGGTTTAATGACCAATATGTGAATGTAATTTGACCGAAGTCATGCCTTAAAAACTGTTTTTAGTTCTATTCCGAGCCACCTTTTGATGCGAATCTTCTGCCTTTTGAGATTTATTATATTTTTTTAAGGCACCTCTGTTTATTTATGTTAAATACATTAACACTGAAATGTAGAGCAATGATTTTAATTTAAGGAGTGTCAACTTTCCAAAACGTTAATGTCAAAAGAAAAAAACATTAAGTTTGACGTTTAACTGCAGTCGGAAACTAAACTAGGGTAACGAAGTTATATTATAAGAATCTGAGGTAGACTCAAGTTAAACTGAAATGGATTACTAAAATTAATGAAGGTTTGATAAGAATCTTTTATTTTTGTAAGTTTGGAGATGATTTTGAGTTGCAAAGTAAGCAGGCAAATCCGAATCAGCAATTAAAGATCATATAAATTTAAGAAATTCTGTTCTAATCGATTCAAATAATTTTGAAACTGATCTAAAACAACAATAATGATATGATCTGAAGTCGGTTACCCGATGGACACACATTGAAATGCTGCCGGGTTGAAAGTCTGATTAGAACCAAACGGCCATGAATTTTAATGTGTGCTGATCGGGTTAGTATGTTCAATTTCCATCAATTCTATGTATTCATTCAAATCAGATCAGCTGCTCCAATACAATCCATTTCAAACATTGACGCAATATCCTCTTGAATGAGTCATTCGATCAGTTGCACATCAATTCAATTGATGACTTCCAAAGACCAGCTTAGACCAAACCTAGATTACAAATAAATCCACCTCTGATCTTCTTATTCAATTATCCAGACGTATCTTAATAAACTCTTCAAATGTCGCCGCCTGATTGCAAATATAAATAAATTCTCTCGTAATATCGGCAGATGTAATGCAGACAAAGATCAAGGAAATCCTCATATTTACTTCCATTCTAAAACTTTTTTTTTTCTTCATAAAAACATACGATAAGGGAAAAATGCACAGTTAGTGACTGCAAAATGAATATTATTATGTTTGCGATAAGGATGAATGAATGAATGACAGTGTATAAGTGATAAGATCGCGTGCATGAATGAAAAGAAGAAAAAGAATTATTTAAATTTTGTAAGTGTTGCAGTAAATTATCATTATAATAAACAGCTCAAGACGGGTCGGAATCATTTCCGAAAAATGTGTATCATAACAATTATGATCAAACACTTATGCCTTGCTTGCTCCAACCGAAATATGTTTGTTATTTTATGTTGTTGTGTGAAAGATTTCACATAAATACACTCATAGGAAGTGTAATGTGATGTTTATGTGTCATATCATGCATATATGCTACAATACGGAAGGAAATGTTCATTATTAGAGCTGTGAAATTTAATTCCTCTTCTCAAGATAGTTCTTGACTTGCATGTGGATTATTTCTTTGAGAGCATATATATAATATTCTCATCCATCAACATTCTACTTATTTATTATCGTCGACAATAATCGTTTGGAATATTTAATGCTATAAAAACTAAGGGAGAGACTATGGGGGTTGTTCTTAAATTACGTACAATTTTAGGCAGCATTAGAGGTGATATTGATTTGTGTTTTGCACCTGATGATTTGATTTTTGATGAAAAAAGAACTCAATCTTTAAGTCAGACGTCATTAATAATCGACCCCATTGAGTAAATAAGAAATAAAATCCAAGATATTTTTATGGATTTAAATTAAAAATCGAGAATGAAAAAAAGTATTAATTCCATCCATATGTATTGTGTTAAGAAATGTCATGAGTTAAAATAGAAGCAATTGAGATACATTCGAGACTCGTAGGCCCCCAATGTCTTTTTGCGCCTAATAGAAATGTTTATATTTAAACATTCTCTCTATTCTCCTTCATAAGGTTGACTAAAGATTTTTGTTGCTATTGTTAATATGTTTATCAACTAGATTTTTCCTTAAACTATTTGGTTAATCTAATTATCATAATATTGTTGATGTTTCTTATAACTTTTGGTATTTGATGATAAATTTGTATTTATGATTGTTTGTACATCGAGTTTGATGATTCTGGTTTATGCAATTGAATTAACTAATGAACTGTTTCAATATTAGTCATTCTATTCATCAACACAAACTGAATCTTCCAGGAATAGTTTTGCATCATAAAACTACATGATTAGGTTAAGAAAAATGATTTTAAAGAAATTAAACGGTAAACTTTATTAAAATTCGAAAACAATTCTGTTTAATAAAAATGATTCTAATTGATTTTGAACCGCAACTGATCAACGTCATCATGGTTGTTAATTTTTGACTATCTTGATCAGTTTCAAGTCCTTGTCTTAAACCAAGAACATTCAAGTGAGATTAAATTCTGATTATTGAGTAAACTTATTCATAGATTCTTATGAAAATTTCAAAAAATGCGTTACACATGTTGCAACACGAACAAACCACAATATCCTAACCACAACTACTCATCTTCTAAAAATGAAAAACACCACACGAGACAAAACAAAAATTAAAATTTCAAATTTTTCTTCAGTTCTTTTTAAAAACAAATTCGTCATTAAGTTTTTTTTTTCAAAACACTTTATGTCCCATGTGATTGAAGCCGATGATTACGTCATTAAAGTGACAAAAATACGATGCCGTATATCTTCTACATTCAAAATATAGAATAGGAACGAAGAAATGAGAGAGAAAAAAAAATGATAAATGAATTTTTGAGTGCGGATGCAGACAACTTGACTTTAATTTAAATACACATTTTAATTCTTTTTTACGACAATGCGATCATTGAGAGACATAAAAATGAAATTATGTGCGTAATTTTTTAGATTGAAGTGTCTGGTGTGGCTTTTTTTGGATGACTGGATGTGACATTCGTTGGAATTTAGATTTGTTATGTTAGGCTGGTGGGAAATCCCTTGATAATTAGTAATACTAATGAAATAGATTCGAGTGACTTATCTTGGCGTTATATTCTTGCTATCCAAGGATTTTGGAATTTTTTTCAGACCAACTCTGGTTCATAACTATCCACAATCTGAATATATGTAGTAAAATTGTAGAATGCGCTCTTTTCCTCCCTACTTATCCCGTTAATCAACAAAATTCACACTCATCCCATTTAAAATCATGAGAAAACAATTCATAAAATTTCAAGCATGCATGATTAACATGCATGATGATCATAATGAGACTTCAATTGCACTAAATATTTAATTTCTTTTGTTTTTCATTTACAGATTCAACAGACTTTAATAAGCACACTGTAATAGAACCGAAAATTTTACATGCAAGACATAAGCGAGCTATAGCAGGAACACTAGAAGAGGTGAAGAATTTTTCTCATAATTTTACTTTCAAGAACAAAAGAAAATGTGAAGTGGAAGAAGAAGGAAAAATGAATTTTCGTGTTATGAATAAGAATTTTTATTTATTTTATTTATGAAAATAACCATCAACGATACTTTTTGCACCGCACCGCATTCACTCATGTGAACTTTTTCCGTATGTATATTATTGTTTAAATGTACGCAATCATGTTTGGGTTAGTGTACAATAAACCGTTAATCAAGGACGTCATTTTATCGGAGTTCATTGACTTCGAATTATTAAAATCAATTTTCCGACTTTATTATTGCTGTCAAAAAAGGAAGGATTGCTAAAAATAGAGTCAATTGATATTTTTACTAGAATTGTTACTCGTTGTAAATTGTTGAAGTTTAATTTATTAACTTAAAAATGATTTTTTTTAAAATTTTCACGAAATTGATGCGAAAGAGATGCAGAGCTTTTATAAATAGAAGCGAAACATTTAAAATGAAATCAATTTCAATCTAGTTCAGGAATTTAAACGGTAAACATTACAATTCTATTTCTATTTATGTCATAAACCACTTTGTAATACAATGGAATGCCTTACAACATAGTAAATGCATTACAAAACATGTGACAGTAAAAAAAGAATAGTAATACAATATTGTGACGTCTGATTAGAATACAAACATTACATCAAATCAAATCGAGCATTAGAAATCTATGAAACATACGGACAAGCAAAACATAAATCACGAAAATTATACGAATATAATAAATTTTATTTTATTATGATGAATTGCTTCACTTCTTCTTCTTCTTCTACATTCATCAAATTACTACTTAAAGTACTTCAAAGAACACCAATAATAATAATAATATTAATAATCATAATGTCAATTGTTTTCAATTCATATAGGACGGTACTCATGCCACCCACATTCATCTCATATATGAACACAATAACAAAGATGTGATATTAGATTTACATTTGAACGATAATTTAATACCAATAGAGCATTATATTAGCTATCAACTCCCGAATGGTGATAAGACGATAAAAAACTTTACAAAGACTGATATCGATCTGTGTAATTACCAAGTATGTATTATGACACTCGATTAAATATGGGGCCGTTCACTTATGACGTCCGACATTTTGAGGGGGGGGTCTAGGATTTTGTGACAGTTCAAACAATGGAAATTTTTTTCTATACAATTTTTGTGACAGAGGGGGGGAGGGGAGTCTAAAAATCAGGTTTTTTGATGGACGTCATAAGTGAACGACCCCCATGTATTATATTGCGGAATTTTGAATGAAATAATATCATCATGCTTTTTTGACTAATGTAAAGTTTCTTAATTGAATAAATGAGTCAGAATAGTATCGGGGGTTTCCAATCGACCCTATTAAGTTACTCATTTAGCATCAAAGAATTATGAACTCAGTTTTCTTATTTATGTATCATTAAGCTTTGATCAATTAAAATTCAAAACTTCAGACTGACATTTGATTGATTACCATAACGTAAAAAAAATACTAGCTGAATATTTCATTCAAAAAATGCGCGCTTGAAGTTCTCGACATGTCTGTACTGTAAATATTTTCATTACATTCCTTTATTGCTGTATTTTAACGATTTTTTTTATTGTCATTGATAATTTAGGGCAAAATACGTCACAAGCCAGAATCATCTGTCGCTTTATCGACGTGCAATGGAATCCGAGGTGTCGTTTTTGACGGTAGAGATACTTACTACATTGAGAATGAACCGAATGGACCAGATCGTAAACATTTTCTCATAAGGTACGGCGAGAATACTTTTTTTAAAATAAATATTTTAGACATGCCATTCGTATCATTAACCCTGATCATTTTATATATTGTTTAGACATTCTGATTTAAAGCATGAGCACAAGTGTGGATACGAAGGGGGCATTAATAGTACGCACGATATTGAGTTAAGTCACATGACGGAATTTAATCGAATAATGCGAGTAAGTAGAATAAATAAATACGAAGAAGTATGTAGATCTAATGATGCTCAATGAAATCTTTTTATTTTACTTCCGTCTTCTATAAATCAGTACAAGCGGGCTGCTCCTAGTAACAACATAATTCGCGGTCCCTACAATGCTAATAGACGTTCAAATTACGTTGAACTGGTGCTTGTCGTTGACAATAAAGTGTTCACATCATTAGACAGTGATATAACAAAAGTTCATCAGCATTGTAAAGACATAGCGAACATCATAAATGCATTATATGTTCCATTGAATATATTTATTGCTTTATTGGGTGTTGTTATATGGACGGATAAGAATCAAGCATCATTGTCGAGCGATGGTGATAAAACACTCAGAAATTTTCTAAATTATCGAAAAGAAATCCTCATAAGAGAACATCCAAATGATAATGCACAGCTATTGACTGGCGAAGTATTTGAAGGCGGTGTCGTTGGGAAAGCATTAAAGGGACCGATTTGCACATACGAGTAAGTTATTCATTGTTCATTTTTATCATAACCGCATAATATTTCTATTTTAATATGCAGATTCTCTGGTGGTGTCTCAATGGATCATAGTAAAGTCATAGCTATTGTCGCTACAACAATAGCACACGAAATGGGACATAATTTCGGTATGGAGCATGACACTGATGAATGTAAATGCCCTGATGAACGATGCATTATGTCTTCGTCATCATCGTCTGTAGCTCCAACACATTGGTCATCATGCTCGATTGATCAATTGAATCTTGCCTTCCATCATGGCATGAACTATTGCCTTAAAAATAAACCTGCAAAACTTTTTGAATCTCCAATTTGTGGGAATGGTTTTGTGGAGGCTGACGAGCAATGTGGTAAGTTCTATGCTGCACTCTATTAGTAGAAAGATTTATTGAACACACATGCAATTACTGATCGGCATGAGTAACTTCTAACCGTTTATTAATGCCTGAAACTATCTCACATATTTACAGATTGTGGATTGCCACAGTACTGCAATAATTCTTGCTGTAATCCGTATACATGCAAATTGTATCCAAATGCAACATGTGCCACCGGAAGTTGTTGCGACTTGGCTACATGCTCACCAAGAAATGCGGGTAAGCTGCTCTTGCCATTATTTTCTTTTTATGATGGAAAATCAAATATTTACGTGACATTTAAAAACCGTATAAATCTACTCATGCATATAGGTATACTTTGCCGTGAAACATCAGGTGAATGTGACTTGCCAGAGTATTGTAATGGTGATTCAGAATATTGTCCAAATGATGTCTTTAAACGAGATACGGAAGATTGTAATGATGGAGAGTCTTATTGTTATCAAGGGTCATGTCGTTCGCATACTGATCAGTGTAAAATATTATGGGGTCCGTCTGGTGCATCATCAGAACAATGTTATGAAAAGAATATTAATGGCAGCAGACATGGAAATTGCGGATATGATAAGTTCAAGAAAGAATATCTCACATGTCAGCCTCAAGATGCAAAGTGTGGGATGTTACAATGCCGTCATTTAAACGAACGTTTGGAATTTGGAATGGAATCTGTAGCTGTTTTATCACACTCGTTTATAAATCATCGTGGGAGTATTGTGCCGTGTCGTACCGTAGTAATTGATCTTGGATTACAGTTTGTTGATCCTGGTTTAACGCCGGATGGTGCAAAATGTGCTGACAATAAAATGTGTGTAAGTCAAAAGTGCCTTTCAATTGATAGTCTCAGGTCAGACGGAAGAGTTTTGGAATGTCCCAATTGTAATGGAAATGGAATCTGCAATTCAAAAGGTCATTGTCATTGTAATGATGGATATGAACCGCCATTTTGTGATGGACCAGGAGTTGGTGGTTCTATTGACAGTGGTCCTGCTAGTGATCCTGATAGTGAGTATCTATTAAATTATTAAATTGTCCATAAAGATCGTTCACTTATGATGTCCGAAATTATTAAAAACAATAATGGATTTCCTAGAATTCCTATTGTTCTTTTCTCCCTGACCCCCCCCTGTACGTCATAAATGAACGCCTAATATCTTAATCCTCATAGAATTATAATAAATAATTCAAAACTTAAACTGCAGTTGCCTGAAAGCTGGGCATATAAAAAGTCATGCGATTATGACCAAATTCCATGATAAGCTCACAAACTGAGTGATTGAATTTCTGATTAAATGACTTGTTTATAAATTCACTCGAGCTGCAAAAAAAATTATATTTTTAAAATATTTAAACAAAATTTTAATGACTCAATGCAAAGTTTGATTATTTCTGCGGAAGTTCACAGAATTTATATTCATGAAATTGGCTTAATTTGTTCACGAAAAATTCATCATTGTCTTAATGGTCATGGGGGTCAGAATAGACATTTAATATTCATTTGTGTCCATTTTAAATGGCTTCATTGATTGAGTATTTTTAATAGAAAATTGAATTGATGATTTTGAGGAGGTTTGAATGAAGATTGTATCGGCTAAAAAGTATTGGAAATTTGCAATTATTATGATTTTGTTTTTTTTTTTTGATCTGTAAACCCCAGAAACTCGGAACAGAATGATATCTCAAAAAGAAGTATCTCACAAGTGACTTCTAATTAGAATAAAGTTCAAAAGTTGATTTTTCCATAGTTTGTAAGATTTTCAGCCTCAATAGTTCAATTGAGAATCTAAAAATCAAACCTTAGATACACGTCACTTCTAAACGACCCCAAGACATCCAATATTGTTCATAATCAGCTTATATACTTCCAATTGCTTAATCTATTGAAATAATACGTAGCACCTTAAGTGTAATAGTAAATCTAGCTATTCTTAATCTCCTATTTAAACACTTTCAATGCCTTGATTGTTATTTATGCTTTAATTCAATTTAAATTGCTCATTATTATTTTTATACTTTTGTATCTATTCACAGGCGGAAGATTCTTTACAAAGCTTATGTATATTTTCTTCATCGGAGTTATACCTTGCTGCTCACTATTCGCTTTGTTCATCTATTATTGGCGGCAGAACAATTTCCAGCTACTACGAAAATCCCCAAATTTGTACGTATCCAATACTATACCAAGAAAAAAAGTATCAAATAATTATTTAAGCAATAGACTATCTAAGAAAAATATTAGTATTGGCATGTTATTGTCATCGACTAATCCTGGATTGCTGTCAAAAAGCAATAATTTACTTAATGCAGAAAATATTGGTGACAATTGATTTTTAATGCACGTGTGATATTTTTAAGTCTTAAAACTTTTTGTTAATTATAGAAATAATAAATTGCCATGTATATGCACAACTCTTCTATTTTAGTATTTTTTTGTACTTTCTTTTCATTACTTTAATTTTGCATGATTCTGTCTCTTATTCTTTCATTCTGGGGTAATAAAGGTTCTATATTTACTTTTCTCATTAACTTTGTGTGAATGACATTTTTTTTCACGCATTTGTGCTTAAAATGAATTCATTTGTTTTGACTTTTTAAGTGTTTCTTGAGGAATTAGTCATAATTCGCGACTAAGCTCTTTAAACCCGACGAAGCTCAGTGAAATCTGGTTTTGATTTTCCGAGATTTTTCCTAGGAAATTAGTCATTGACTTGTTATTAATCACATCGGAAATGTTTAAGCTTTTTATTTGAAATCTTGTAGTCTGTTGGATATTGTAGATGTTGATGATGATTTGTGAGCCAGACTTGAAGTTTTTTGTTAATTAGCAAGTTTAATCAAGCAGGTTTTGGGAGAGCTTTAACGTTTTACACGTCAACAATCTTCAATACTTTCAAACAATTGAGCTTTAGATTTAAATATTTATAAACCGTTACATTTTGAATTTTCAAATATAAAAAATCCGTTAAATTTTTAAAATATTCATTTTATGCAAAAATGCTCTTCCTTTTACTCTACTTTAATACTTTTTAATTTACAATTTTATTTTTTTTGGTAGCATGTAGTTAAGTTTTTGTAGTTGTTGATTAATGTCATAACAATAAAGGTTGGTGTAACGATTATTTTTTACATGTTTGGTGACGGGTATGATGAAATAAAATTTTTATGTCAATGAAATCATTACAACAAGCTTAATAGACTGTATTAATGACAAAAATTTCTCTTTTTTTATTGAAAACTTTTTAGGCCAAAACCGAATATCAAGCATCACATTGCGAAAGGTTCTGGATCTCCACAAACTCCAACATTCACTTCATCCTCAACTAATTCTCCTGAAGATATAAATTCCTCGCTTTTACGTCCGACATCGGATGTTGAAAATAACTTTTTGTTTGGAAAGTTTAAAGGATTTACATTGAAGCCGTTGCCTGATAAGACAAATGCTAGTAATTCCCCAAAAGTTGCGTATGTTCAGCCTGTATCTAAATCAGTTAATGACGATGATTTACACATCGTACCGTCGAGAGAAGCCCCGCCACCTCCAATACCGAAACATCAAGGTGTCAATTCTCAAATCGATAAATTTAATAATCTTGCTGCACCTCCAGCACTGCCACCTTTAAATAAAGGATCAACAGCTCGACCACTTATTTCAAATCCAGTTCTTGAGACATCGACAAGTAATGCAAAAGAATTACCATTAAATGTTAAGCAACAATCAAATAGCCTTCGATCGGCTCCATCGCCACCACTATCAACTGTTCAAAGTTACGATTCACTTGTGCCTGATGTTCTTATAAATCCAATTGCAACTGTTGAGCCAAAGAAACCAAAAGATGGGACATTAAGTAGGATACAATCATTCTTAAAGAAAGATAAGCAGCCTGAAAAGGTTCAGAAACAGCTACAAAAGATTGATAAAGATAAATTAAAGGATATCCAGATATCCTCACCTATCATGATCACTCAAGTTCCTTTAAAAGATGCTGACGATGTGTCCACAGCTGAACGTAAAGCTAATCTTAATCGTGCACAGTCAATGCGTGATCCACCATCACCACCAATCCAAAAACCTTCATTACAGTCATTCGGTTCAATGAGAAATCCACGACCGAAAAGTATTGTCGATCGACCAACATTGCCACCTCCTCCAAGACCTGTTCAAGCTAGTACGACTAGCGTTGAAAAGCCAAATAATGTCTACGATGAGACTAGAGAAGCTGGAACTCCTGATAATATATATGCAGTCATTGAGGAATCACCAATGTCACCACCAAAACAGCAAGGATCTATTGAGAGTATGGGACTGCTTGGAGAAATTGTGAATGAGATTGAAAGCAGGAAGTTTGATGCGATTTATATAGCATCAACACTTAAGAAGAGTCCAGATGATTCTCTATATGCGAATGTAAAGACACCGGTTGAAGATGACTATCAGCCTGAATCAAATGCAAGTACGACATCGAGTGGTTACATGAAACCAATTACGGCACCTGTTGCTCGAATTCCACCATCACAATCATTAAATAAAATGCCTTCAACTACGAGTAGTAATAGCTTAAGTAGCTTTAAGTCAGCTAAAAGTTCATCTGGTCCTACATCCGACAAAAGTATCACCAGTCCTCAAGATTCTGTGACAAGTCCTACACAACCCAAAGTAGATACTAAAATGAAAAAGTCATCAAGTGATTTAGCTAAGAAAACAGCACAAGATAGTGAATATAAGACACCTACATCCAATAAACCAATAACTGAGGACACGAAACGTCCAATTCTTAAGAAAACAGCAACTCCTCCATCAATTACGTTACCGAAGAAAACAATAAGTTCTAGTATTAGAAAACGAAGTCCAAGTCCAAAAGGAACTACAGCAGCATCTAGTTTATCAAAAAATCCATCCAAACCTAAAACATTTAGCAAACCGGCAGTCACGAGTAGCACAAAATCAACAACATCAGCTTCAACCGCAAAAACACCATCGAGCTTAAGCAATGGCAGCATAAAAACACTGTCTTCAGCATCAACAAATAAAACGCTTAGTGCAGCAGCAAATAAGAAATCAAATGTAGCAGCTTTACAGCAAAAGTTTGAAAGTGCAAATAATCCAAAATGAGATAGGAATAATAATGAAGGTCGAGTTAATTAGTGGAATTAATGTGTGCTCAAAAAGTCTAGAGTTGGAAATGTTTAAGTGATGAGGAATGTTAAGGTTTTAAATTGTAAGGTCGGTGATTTGAAGAAAAGTTGATAAGACTAGTCGATCAATGCCCTAAATTACACTTTAAACATGATTTGTGATATTGCATACATCCCTAATGAAATAGAGCACATCAACTTATTAGGGACAGTTCCTCACTCTTGACTATAACTAGTAATACCGTTGGAAAATAAAGCCTTATTTAAAAAAGAAGAGTTTTAATCAAAATTCTAAATTTTGATACAAATTATGTCTTCTTTTTTTTACGTCAGGATAGAGGATGTTCACTTATTAGGTAACGCTTTTAAGAGGGTGTATAATAAGTGAACAGCCTTATAGAACTTTTATTATTTTGAAGAAAAATTTAGAGAAAAGCCTTTAAAAAAGGAAAAATGAAACTTCCGATAGACAGAAAAAATATTATAAAAATATTGTTAAAGCTTGAAAGTTGTGTATGTTTATGATGGATGTACCAAGTAGTTCTTTTTCCTCTAATTTCTTATGAGGGGCGTCAGTATGAATATATTTGTGGGGCACTGTGCATTTCTGACTTAAAATTATCCTGAATTTAAATTTAAGTAGCTGAATTAGATGCAAAAAGGATTTTAACGTTCATTTTGAATTTGAAAATTTCGCATCAATCATTTTCGCTTTATTTTCAAACTTAAAATGTTCTGTTAAATGATGCGAACAATTTAGATTAAAAAAATGATTTTAACGTTCATTTTGAATTTGAAAATTTCGCATCAATCATTTTTGCTTTATTTTCAAACTTAAAATGTAATGTTAAATGATGCGAATAATTTAGATGTAAAAATGATTTTAACGTTCATTTAGAATTTGAAAATTTCGCATCAATCATTTTTGCTTCATTTTCAAGCTTAAATGATGCGAACAATTTAGATGTAAAAATGATTTTAACGTTCATTTTGAATTTGAAAATTTCGCATCAATCATTTTTGCTTTATTTTCAAACTTAAAATGTAATGTTAAATGATGCGAATAATTTAGATGTAAAAATGATTTTAACGTTCATTTTGAATTTAAAAATTTCGCATCAATCATTTTCGCTTCATTTTCAAGCTTAAATGATGCGAACAATTTAGATGTAAAAATGATTTTAACGTTCATTTTGAATTTGAAAATTTCGCATCAATCATTTTTGCTTCATTTTCAAGCTTAAATGACGCGAACAATTTAGATGTAAAAATGATTTTAACGTTCATTTTGAATTTGAAAATTTCGCATCAATCATTTTTGCTTTATTTTCAAACTTAAAATGTAATGTTAAATGATGCGAATAATTTAGATGTAAAAATGATTTTAACGTTCATTTAGAATTTGAAAATTTCGCATCAATCATTTTTGCTTCATTTTCAAGCTTAAATGATGCAAAAAATTTAGATGTAAAAATGATTTTAACGTTCATTTAGAATTTAAAAATTTCGCATCAATTATTTTTGCTCCATTTTCAAGCTTAAAATTTTCCGTTAAATGATGCAAATAATTTTGATGCAAAAATGATTTTAACGTTCATTTTGAATTTGAAAATTTCGCATCAATTATTTTTGCTTCATTTTCAAGCTTAAAATTTTCCGTTAAATGATGCGAACAATTTATTTGTAAAAATGATTTTAACGTTCATTTTGAATTTCAAAATTTCGCATCAATCATTTTTGCATCATTTTCAAGCTTAAAATTTTCCGTTAAATGATGCGAAAAATTTATTTATAAAAATGATTTTAACGTTCATTTTGAATTTGAAAATTTTGCATCAATCATTTTTGCTTCATTTTTAAGCTTAAAATTTTCCGTTAAATGATGCGAACAATTTATTTGTAAAAATGATTTTAACGTTCATTTTGAATTTGAAAATTTCGCATCAATTATTTTTGCTTCATTTTCAAACTTAAAATTTTCCGTTAATTGATGCAAACAATTTGAAATTTTGAAGTTTTTGTTTGAAAAAAGATGCGAAAAATTCAAATTTTAACTCAACTGTCAAAAAATTTCAACTATTCAAAAATCATTTCAACTTCATTCTTATTAGATTCGCAAAAAAATTTCATAATTGGACCAATAATAGTTCATATTCCATATAATTCCTAAATATAATAAAAACTACTCAACCCAAAAATGATCACACTGACGTCTTTTATGGAAAACATATTTTGTAGAAATTGTAATAATTGTTTCGAAATAGACTTTATTAAATTAATAATTCATAAGTAATTTTAAGAAATATTTGTCCAGTTCTTTTGTCAATATGTCAAATTGACAAAGTGCATTATTGTTAAGCATTTTCTCTACACATGCTGGTGCATAAATAATTTTAAAAAAATCATGAAAAAGATATACTTAAAATAAAATCTAACATTATTGTTCTTTTTCCAAGAAATCAACTCTTTTTCAACATTTTTATTTGACTGCAACTGAAATAAATCACTGCTTTTGTGTATTGATAAATTTCTATATTTAAGAATATACGGTGGGAAGAACAATATGATGATTGATAGTTGTTACGTTTTTTTGTATATAGAGAACCAAAGATTATTGACAAAAAATAAACATGTATTAAAAGTGATTTTATAATTTTTTCGAATAAAAGTCATTTCATCGCTGATGCAATTTAATTTTTACGTATTTTTATTTCAATTATATTTTCAGACTTTCATTTTTTGAGTTTTAAAAATTTACAGCATTTGTATTTTCTTGTCTATTAATGAACACATAAAAAACATCATCACATAAGAAAATACTGCACACATATTCAGTTAATCATTTTCTCAGCGTCATGCAGAACCTGCGGAATGATAAAAATAAATGAACGGGAATTGCATTACAGGTTATCGATCTCAGGGATTGTGGACGACACTTAGCCAACTTAGTTATCAAGCCCGGGTAGCTCAGTTGGTAGAGCGTTGGACTTTTAATCCAACGGTCCAGGGTTCAAGTCCCTGCTCGGGCGCTATCCTTTTTTGCTATTTTACTTTTTTTTGCAATTTTTATAAGGAAAAACATTTAATTTTTAAAGATATTCGGTGGCATAGTGGTTAGGGTAGCTTGGTATTGTGAAATTATCCTTGCTATCGTGGGTTCGAATCCTACTGTGAGAAATTATTATTATTATTATTATTTTTATTATATCTTCATCTGCTTTCATTTTCATTTTTAAGGAAAAAGCCTTCTTAATCAGTACTTAAACTGATTAAAAATGCATAAAAAACCTTAAAAATTAACAATTACATAATATTATGAAGAGTTTCAATGTAAAAAATACCTTAAAGAAATCTCTTCGGTCATAAAAAATATTTTCCGTTATTTAACGTCATTCTAAAATTTGAATTTGAATTAAATAATTATCAACAACAAAAATCTCAACAAAATAATTTAAAATAATTTGGTCATCTTAGTATGTTTACATAACAAAAGTGTTTGAGGAAGAAAATAGATAGAAATTCCATTAAAAGTAGTGAATCAGTGCATAATCTCATCCTTATCATCAAAATCAGTTCATCCAGTTCATCATGATGTCATTTCCTGCTGTTCCTTTATATTTTGGGTGGTTAAGATAAGGGGCTGTTCACTTATTACGTAACGCGAAAAAATGACTTCTTAGACCCCCCCCCCCTCGTAACAAAATTTGTATGAAAAAAAAATTTCCTTGTTTGAACCGTAACAAAATCTTAGACCCCCCCCTCCCCCTAAAAGCGTTACGTAATAAGTGAATGGCCCCTAAGTATAATTGATTGTATACAATCCAAAACATCTCTTCAATTTGTGTCTCATTCGAGCATATTTGATTTTTCTTTTCAGCTTGTTCTAGTGTACTTTTCAAGGTACTCACCACTAAAGCATATTGAAATCAAGTCTTCCTTTTGCAGATGGATCTTCAATGCTCGTACAAATTCATGGATGTGTTTGCACTTTTGAATCTCTTGAGGCAAATCGTTGAAGATTCTGGGCCCAATCGAGTGAATCATCTTATAGCCATATAACGTTCTAGCTACTGATGGTTTCAAATACTCTGCTCGTCTTCCTGTTCTGGATGATACTCGATTGAATTTGATGTTTGTGAAGATTTCACGTTTCATCGTTTTAAAGACGAATCCAGCAATCGCTTTATGGAACAATGCACGAATCGGTAAGTTGCCTTCAACGAGTTTTGTGTACATCTCACATCTATTTGTCTGTCGATCCAGATTGTACACATTCCTCAAAGCTCTATTTTGGATAGTTTGCAGAGGCTTGATTGCGGCGTAACTCGCACTTCCCCATATCATTATCATGTAATTCAAATGTGTCTCAAATAATGATTTGTAGATTTTCTTTTTGATGTCAAGTGGAAGCGTACTCTTCAGTTTCCATAAAATACCTGCTGCATTAGATAATTTAGTCTCAACATTCTGGATGTGTTGTTCCCATTTCAAGCACTCATCAATAATCAATCCTAAGTATTTTACTTTCTCTACTCGTTTAATGATGAGTGATACATTATGTTCGTCAACTCCTTCTGTCTCAATTTTAATTTCCTGAGTATCTTCTACTTTAAATTGCTAGTTTTGTTTTACACTTAGGTTTAAAAGTATTTTTTATTTTATTTTAAAAAGTATATTTTAAAAAATAAAAAAACTTTTAATAGATTTTCACGAAACTTCGCTTAATAAGCTTACTCATCATAAAGATATGAATATAAATAATCATTATATCCATCCCCAGAAGCTATTTACATGATAATTTCCCAATAATGCAAGCCTACAAAGTGATAATTGTAGCTATAAGTGCTTCAAATCATCATAATTAAATGACAATACGTGGAAGCAGATGTTCATCAACATCTGTATAGGCGTTGCACTCTGACGTACAGACACAAAACCCTTAATTAAATAATCAAACATGTTTAAGCAATAATTACGTTTAATACCTAATGAGTTGGGCCAATAATAATAAAATATTTTATTTCCGATAATTTTGCATTAATTATCTTGGCTTTGTTTTCAAACACAATCATTAAATAAAGTGCGAATTGTCATATTCAATGGAAACCATATGCTACACATTTTTTGGGTTTTTATTGTGGATGAATTGAGTGGAAATATTTTATTATACCCAAAATTTGGTGAGGAGTAGTTGAGTGAGGTTGATGGTTTTGTTTGAGCGCATCTGTGTGGGACGTGAGGCTACATATGTACTGAAAACAAGATGTTAAAGGTGCGTCTTAAGATGGTGACTTTAGACCGCGTGAGGTAGGAATCATTCATGCTAGAGTCACACCAACTATATGCCAATATTTTGAGAATTTTCTGAGCTGAAAAAATGAGTTTTGAACCTAATTCGGGTGCAAATGTCTATGAAGATAACAAGTGAACAATAGCAGCCACGTGGCAACCACTTTGCATCTAGTTGGAGGTTGCTTCCAAGCAGCTGTCGCTTGATTCTAATTATACTTTCAACCAGGCTGTCGGGTGGCAAACATTTTAGTGTTTGCCGATCGGGTTAAGCTGTAAAAGTCAAAGAACAAGGCTGATTCTAGAGATCCTTAACATAAAAAGGTTTTAAGAAATGTTTCTTTGCTAGTTTCGCTTCTAGATTGCATTGAAATTTTCGTATTTATTCAACCAACTTACAGCATACTTCAAATTCATAAAATTCCAAATTTGCAAACACTTAGTCATAGTTACAATTAAGTCTCAACTTATTCACATAAACTAGCTTCAAAATTATAAATATTCTCATCCAAAAAGAAACACTTAAATGGAAATTATCGAAGCATTTCCCATAAATTAACATTAACAAATCGATCATGTCCTTTCTCAAAAGTATGGTCGAAATTAAACCTTTTATTTTGTTGCAAAATATATTTCAAGCCGAACTCTGAAAATTATGTAAATCAGACTATTTTGGATCCCACACACTTACTGCCTCACATGAAAAGCTTTTTCTTCCCATTTAATGAATGAAAGCTTCACATTCACGTGCTTGCAGCACAGAGGATTCTGATTGGCTGTCAGGATTGATGATTTTGATGACGCAACTAAGATTCAAGCGCCAACAAATGCTTACAACATTTTACATGATGTGCGACACTTCAAAAAGTGACAGCGACACAATGATGAAATCATACGACAAGGATACGTGTGACGTGTATCAAGTAAGAGTTGATAATAGAGCATGTCGGTTGGTGTAAATCAAAACTGACGTTTATGTACATAGCATTTAATGTCTAAGTCAGTTCTTATCAGTACATTAAAATCATATTTAATTATATTTATGTAAATATCTCATCATTTCCATCTATCATTATCTGATAAAGGCTTCAGCAGCATGTTCATGCAACACATGCGCAACATTCGTCCAAAAAATTGCTAATAAAACAAAAATCAGCGCGTATAATAATACAATAGTCAGTAGCATCCAGCACTTCATTGAAACAAAAGGTGTTTGGAAACAGTAAAAGAAATTATTAAGGAACTGACAAAAGTGCGTTTATGTGAGATTCATTAATTTCACATTAATAGGATAGAAAGTGACTAAGCATTACTTTATCTGCTTTAAAAATATTTAATTATTTCATTTTTGTGGCTGTACACATTCATACATTCAGAAATTTTTTAATTTAACAAAGTCACAAGGGACAGAACATAAAACATAAAAACTTTTTTTTTGCCATCCTCTCATAATTTTTTGTGTTTTAATCAAAAACCCGACAAAAAAAGAGAGTGTGTCTGTTGGTCAGAATCTACTACTGTTGAACTTAATTGGAGGATCGTGTTTCAATTATTTATAGGAGGTAAGTGAGATTTTTGAAACTTTTTATTTCTTTAAATCCAGATTTTATTTAGTTTTAATTGAACTTGGGTTGTTTTATGAAATTTGACAATTCGAGATTTGATTTGAATGTTTTTGAATTGAATGTTACTTCATTTGTTTACTGGAACCTATGTGAAGGTTAGGTTACTACAAAAAGATTTTCATTTGAATGCATCGACTAGTTTAGACAACTTCGTTTTGATTGTTCGCTCATCAAGCTGACATTTAAACATTAAGGTTTTATGAAAGTAATTTCAAAATTTTTTATTTTAGATGTAGATTTAAATATTTTGATTTTAATTGAAGATTTCAATATTTTAAAACATTTTTGTTGAAGATTTCAATATTTTAAAACATTTTATTTAAGTTTGAATGTGAAATAAAACAAAATCTTTAAAAATTTGAACTTGAATTCTATTGAATTTTGAGTCTTAAAAGCTAAATCAACAGATTTTCTAGCAAAAGTCACTCAAAACATTACAATAATTTTTTTGGAAAAAACCTTTAAAATGTCAAAACTTTTCTTTATTTTGTATGAATAAGCACGTTTTATGTCTTATCTAATGACACATCATTCCTTTGCATCAAAATATCAACTGTAACATTCTCAAATTTCCAAGAATACCAAATCCTTTAAAAAACTCAAATTTTCTTTCAAAAAATTTATAATTTCAAAATAAATCTCTTCAAACGTTTTAAAGCATAACCTTAAAAATTTCTTGATTCATAAAGAAACACGTAAGGCAACGTAAGGTTGAGGCAAAAACGAAAGAGCACAGAATCGACCAATTAATTTAGTTAATGAAGTAATTCATTTCGATGA